TTTTGTATACTCGTGGCAAAATAGTTCTGAGACTGAATTCAGGGTAGGATTTTTATAGAAAGAACTTAAAAACCATTTGAATATTATTTATATGTTACAATCAACAACATATACATTTAATGTTAAGATTTTATTATGGTTATTCTATATTTTCACCCTTTACATCAAAGAACTTTAAAAATAACGATTATAAAAATTGTCACTTTTCAATGGTATATCTTCATGAAATTTTAATTTAACATGTTTACAATCTATATTTTTACCCATTTGCGTCAAAATAATTCAAAAAACTTTAAAAATAACGCTTATGACAATTGTCACTTATCTATGGTGCATCCTCATGAAATTTTAATTTAACATGTTTACAATCTATATTTTTACCCATTTGTGTCAAAAAAATTCAAAAAACTTTAAAAATAACGCTTATGACAATTGTCACTTATCTAGAGTACATTTTCACTAAATCATACTTTAACATGTTAGCAATATTTATTTTTGCCCATTTACGTCTAAAAAATTCAAATAATTTTAAAAATAACGATCATGACAATTGTCACCTTTCTATGGTACATCTTCATGAAATTTAATTACATGTTTATAATCTATATTTTTATCCATTTGCGTTAAAAAAATACAAAAAACTTAATAACGATTTTGACAATTGTCACTTATCTAGGGTACAACTTCACTGAAGTTTTATTTAAATATGTTATCAATACTTATTTTGGCCCATTTACGTCAAAAAAAGTTTAAAAATAATGATTATAATATTTGTCACTTATATAGGTTACATCATCACTGAAGTTTTATTTAAACATGCTAGCAATATTTATTCTAATCTAGGTCAAAAAAATTCAAAAAAGTTATAAAATAACGATTATGACAATTGTCACTTTTCTATGGTACATCTTCATGAAATTTTAATTTAACATGTTTACAATCGATATTTTTACCCATTTGCGTTAAAAAAGTTTAAAAATAATGATTATGATAATTGTCACTTATCTAGGGTACATCTTCACTGAAGTTTTATTTAAACATACTAGCAATACTTATTTTAACGCATTTTGATCAAAAAAATTAAAAAACTTTAAAAAATAACGATTATGACAATTGTCACTTTTCATTGGTAGATCTTCATGAAATTTTAATTTACCATGTTTACAATCTATATTTTTACCCATTTGTAACAAAAAAATTCAAAAAACTTTATAAGCAACGATTATGACAATTGTCAATTTTCAATGGTAAATCTTCATGAAATTTTAATTAAGCATGTTTACAATCTATATTTTTACCCATTTGCAACAAAAAAATTCAAAAAACTTTATAAACAACGATTATGACAATTGTAATTTATATCTATGGTACATCTTCACTGAAATTTTATTTTAACATATAACAACTTTTATTTTTGCCCGTTTACGTCAAAAAATTGTAAAAAAACTTTAAAAATAATGATTATGACAATTGTCGCTTTTTTTGGTACATCCTAATTGAAATTATAATTTAACATGTTGAAAATACATATTTTTGCCCATTAGCATTAAAAAAATCCAATATGTTTAAAAATACCGATTATGATAATTGCCATATTTCCAAGGAACATCTTCATTGAATTTATAATTTAACATCTTTAAAATATAAATGATATTTATACCCTTTTGAGTCAATAAATTTCAAAAATCTTAATAAATAACGAACATGACAATTGTCACATTAAATTATTTTCCTTAAAAAGATCATATAAAATAACATAAATAAGTTGAATATAAATATTTAAAAAAAAATTATTTAGAAAACCCCCCTCTTTTAATATATTTAAGAAATAGATAATTTTACAAAAATGATAAAAAAACTATAAAAGATTTCACTCAAAAATTGTACATTTATAATAAATTTCACAAAAGAATTCCTCAAAAAAAATATATTTACAAAGAAGATTTAAAATTTTTATCAAAATATGTTCAAAAATCTTTTTAAACTTCAAGAAATATTTTTTACTTAAAATCTTGGGCTTGAAAATCACTAATAAATTGTAACAAAAATAATATTACAATAGTAGCATATCATTTTTTATTAAAAAACATCAAATAATAAATAATATGTTGTTTTCTTTTAAATAAATGCATTCGCAATATATTTATTGTTTCGCGGTAATGCGCTCGCGATAATGACTTCACGCAAACATATTCGCGATAAAAAATTCGCTGTAAAGTGTTCGCGTAAAATGTTTCGCTAAAATGTATTCGCTCTAATAAATTCGCGAAATTGTCTTCGCTATAAATGTTTCGCGGAGATAAATTCGCAGAATTGGTTTTGCAATTTTACCTTCGCTATAAAAACTTTTCGCGATAAACGACATACGCGATAAAAGTTTCGCTGAATTGACCTGATACGAAAAACTCGCCCATTGCAGACTTCTAGTCCTTAGAGTGTAAAATGCGCGGTATACTAAAAAAGTTTTTCAACAGAAAAAACGACTTATTAGAAGAAAGGAGAAGGATATTACCCAATTTGCTAAGAGTTTCAAGGGTTGAATCCAGAAAAGTGCAAGCAGCCGAGTTGCCTTAAACCAGAGATTAAAGTGAATTAGTTAATAATGACTTTAAAATTGAGGGAGTTAATTTCGGAACAATTTAGTTGAATGAATTCCAATTTGCTTAGATTGAAAATTAACCCTAAAGTGCCGATCTTAATCATCCATGTACCAAACATGAAAAAAAGGGAGAGGAGGATTGATTGCCTTGATCATATCGTTGATTCCGAGACAAGATAGATATGGGGCAAGAGGGTCACCCTATTGAATCCCTTCTATAGAAGGAATTTTATATAAATAGAATTGTAAAGTGGAAGGATATAGATAGCAGGAATGAAAAAATTTGCTATATCCAGGAATACGAGTGCTCGAGAGTTTAAGAAAGAATTGAGAGAGATTATTAAAGGCATTGGCAAAGTCAATCTTAATTAAGATTTCATTTGAGGAATTGTTTTCTAAATTAATACAAGTAAAGTGTACCACAGCCTCACAAGTACTGACAACTCCAACGCCCAGTTGAAAAGGACTCAAGATGCATCATGCTTAATTCTCGAGGAAATAATTTTAGCAACAAGGCGCCCAGATATCATTATTAAGTTTTTGCAAGGCAATGATTTTTCGACCAAAAAGTATGGGAGACACAAAATCTGGAATATCACCAGCAAAATTTTATTGCAGAAGTTGGTAAGCAAGGTAGGATTGAAGAATGGGAACATATTAATTGAGAGGTAATGTCCAGAAATACAGAACGAATTCCATCCAGTCCATTGGCGGAATCACGATGGAATGTGAGGATAGCTTTTCTAACTTCTTCCTGTGTGAAATAAGCCAAGCGAATGGAGTATGGAAGAGGATCAATAGAATTGATGGTAGTTACGATGTTTGGCGAAAAGCTTGATATATAGGTATCACGAGAAACCTAAACGCACCTTTAATGTTTAGATTATCAATTTTTTATAAAGTTGGCTTTGATCACTAAAGGAGAAGTTTTATTTTTTTGCACAATAATTATAGGATGAAAATTCACCAAGAAGGTATGGATTTTTGTTAAGGGCGGCATTTTTAATATCTTGAGTTAAAGATTTGTCAGGCATTTTAAAAGTAAATGCCATAAAAAAATCTGAGCCATTCCTTTTCACAATTGAAATTATTCAAAAGGGAGGACCCCCAATAAATGAGCACCTCTAGTAATTCGAGTAAAAACATTAGGCTTGGAAATATCAAAGAATAAGGAGGAGAAAATGTTATCAGGTAGATGTGGGATTACGATATTGATGTTATCAATAGGGTCATTGTTAACATTTAAAACTATATCATTATTTAAGAACTTACATTTGTGTCTATTAAAACCACAAAAGGTAAAATTTTTAATATTGTGGGAATCTTTTTGAAGGTTTAAGATTATAATTAATAGTTTCTAAAAGTTGTATATCACTGGTTGAGGAATTACTAAGAATCGAAATTTGATTTTCCATTATTGGGAATAAATCATTAAATAAAACAATCACAACAAATAATTTGTTTGTAATAGTGCATTATGAAGAAAGATAGATCACAATTTTTTGCTAATTAAGTTGAGAAATTGAATTAAATTTCGAATGTCAATAAAATATAAAGCTTAACTATAAATTAGAAGAGTTAGTTCATTTTATAACATGAAGGACTTCATTTTGATAGGAAATGCCAAGGAATGGTGGTAAACATTATAACAAGAACATCTATTTTTGGGATGGATAAAACGTATTATTTTTTAAATATTACAATGGGAGAAAAATTTGTAACAAGTACATCTATTTCTGGGATGGATGAAAAGTATTATTTTTTAAATATTATAGTGGGAAAAAAATATTAAATTTATCTCATATTAATTTAAATATTTAAAATTTTATCTTAGCAGATTTTCTATAATTCAAATATTGAAACAAATTCATTAAAAAAAATTTGTTATACACATTATATCAAAATTTATATATTTTTTTAAATAAACATTTATTGAAATATAATAAATTATATTGTATGATATAATATGAAAAATTCTACCTATACATAATTTAGAAGTATAATAGAATAATAAATATATAATTATTTATTATAAAGGATTTTATTAATTATATTTATTATTATTTTTCCAGAAAAGTTAAACTTTAATATCTAATTATTCCTTGACAGTGAACAAAAATGTCTTATCAATAGAAACAATAATTAAATCATTCTTCCTATACCTTATTGAAAATTATCCACTTTTAAAATGAATATCCTAAATATTAATATTCAAGCCTTTTCTTTTTACACTTTGATGAACTATATAAAAATGAACATAAGAAAATATAATTACATCTATAATAAAAACATTACTCAATCACATTAAAACAACTCAATCACAAATTTAATTTTAAAAAAAATTAAGTGTAAAGAAAAGAATGAAAACTTAAATATATACATTTGAAATCCATATTTTCTAATTCAACGTCTATGAGGGGATCGAACTCCAGAAGATGATATTCTTTTGTAATCCCTTTTGAGGGGTGAAGATCTTCTAAATGCAGGTGGAGATCTGTAACTTCTTTCTTCCTAAAATATTGTGAGGCGTGACAATTTAAAATCATATAATATAATAAATATTATATAAAAATGGCCCTTATGAACTGGATTGACTAATCTATTATCATATATATGATGGTTATATAACTATATACTTTTTTTCCTATGTACATTCTTTCGACACCTCTTGCCATTCCGCCGCCTCTGCTGTATCTTTCTTCGCCAGGAGGTTCTTGATAATGATTCCTATCTTCGTAGACAAAATTATTGGGAATCGTCCTTTCATTGTGTTCATATGATTGTTCGTACCTGGGTCTTTTGACGAAAGGCCGTTCCCTTTCATAATTAACCATCATCCTGTCATCAAACCCCATTTTATCCCTATAATCCATCCTATCGGATCTATCGTTAAACCTGCCCCCTTCATATCTATTATAGGCGTTATGAGAGACCATTTCTTGTCTAGAAATATTGTTTTCATCATTATTAAAAACTTCATTATGATTTATAGATAAAAGTGGAGGAGGATTAGGTTTACTATTCATAATTTTTCGTAGTATGTTGGAGTAATCGTGGAAAAATATGCGGGAACGCTCACAATCCTTTTCATGAATGTATAGGCGGGAAGGGTGAGATTTTTCGAGGTTTTCCAGCCTTTCCTTAGCCTATTTTATATGTGAAAAATAAATAAAATTGCATTACATATATATGCCTGAGAATCTATAGCTACTTCTTTAAGTAAATTTAAATATCAAAATAATATTCAAATTTTTTTATATCCTTGCTGTAATCTTAATTGATCGACTCTAAATAGTTTAAAAATCCATTTTAGTTCTTTAATAGTTATCCTAATGTATAAATTATATATTGCTAGATTAAGAATATAACAGATGCATGAACCTTCGTTTCACTCAAAGGTAGCCAATAGACACAGGGAGATATAATGGTTTTTCGGAACAATTCGTCCATCAATTGCCCAGGTTTGCTTTTTGTTTTGTCCTCAGGCACTATTAATTTTTAAATATATAAATAGTGTATGTGCATCAAAAGTAACCCCTGCTTTAATTCTGATTTTTTGTAATAAGATTTATATTGCAATAATATAAATTTACATAGATGATGCATCAATATATAAAATAAAAACCAATATTTCGGCTATATCAGATGCACTGATACGACCCTTTCCAACCAATACTAATAATTATAAAAAAATTTTACCAATCGAATCCAATATACATATAAAATTAATCTGATATTTGTGCTGATTTATATTTATTGTAAAATAACCCATGTTCTTTAATTATATCTGGTTCTTTTTAAAAAGGTTTGGTTTGTTTGATTATTTAATTATTAGACTAACTCCGAGAGTATTTTTATTTTTTACATCAATGTTGTCATATTTATTATGAAACTAAAATAGTAATTTCTTTTTATTGATTAAAAAATTTCCAATATAACAAGATTTATTTTGTGTGAACTAGGCCTATTCAAAAACGAATCGAATAATGACAAATATGAATATTAAATAATTCGATTTTTTTGAATATAAATAAGAAATTATTCGATTCAAATAATTTGAATATTTGTTTAACTCACATATTCGACAAATGATTCAAATAATTCCTATTATAATCGTATTATTCGAAAATTAAAATTATTTGAAATAAAAATTCATATTTTTATAATATAATTTAAATATACTTTATCACTACTTATCAATCTGTCAGGTTATATTAACAAAAAATGCAAATAGCTTGTAAAAGGCTTTTTTTAATTAGAGCTAATTTCCCATCAAAAACAGCATGTCTTGAAAAAGAAGGCATTTTAATAATAACTTGTCCCATATTTTTATCATCAGATTATTATAATAACTTTTTCTGTTTAAATTGGATGTGCAATTAAAAAAAATTTTAAAAATCTGTTAACATTATTTTCGTATAATTATTTTATAATTTTTTTTAAAAAAAATCAACCGAATAGAATACAAATTGTAAATTATAACAAACCATATATTAATAATATACTATTTGATTCGTTTTTTGTTAATAGATCTAATGTGAACTATAAAATGTTGGCAGTCTCATTAGTTTAAATTCCCAATTAACCTCAATGCTAATATTGGCAATTCTTATTTCTGTTTTTTAAATAAATAATATATTGTCGCAGTATTGACTAAGGATTGTATTGAGATACCGGGGCTAGTTGGTGCAATTTGTCAAAATCATCACAGCTCTGAAAAAGATAATGGTATAAGATCTTGTAAAATACCACGATATCTTAAACACTTAGCTATAAATACAAAATGTTATATTTTTTAAATATTTAATAATTTTTTTCAAAGGTTTAGTAAAGGTGATTTTTTGAACTTAGTAGCCCCAAACCCATGGTTAGTTAAATCATCGATGGAGCTAGTCAAATCAAGAAGCTTATTAGGCTTCCTATGAGACACATATATAAATTTCTTCAGATTTTATATGCTTTATTTATATAATATTATGCAATTATAACAAATAAAAAAGAAATTTTTTCGACAGGACCCATGCCTCAAACCTTTACATAACCAATATTCAAAATTATGGAAATTTTAGTCCTGTTTACATATAATACAGACATCTATTAATTTTAATAATGTGTTTTTTTGATTTTTTATTCTTCTGTTTTAATAGAAGATGTTTCTAGAATGGAGATGAGGTAAAAATTTCAGCTATAATTTTTTTAATGCCTTTTTAGCAGATAACCCATAAAAAATTTTAATTCATGAAATTAGTTATTCAACCATTTTATTTTCCTCGTCATCATCATATATTTTTTGTTTATTATCTTGACCTATTTAAGCAATGCCAGTCATTTTATATTTTTTATAATGTCTTAATTCACTCAAAATTTATCTAGTTCAATTTTTAATATATAACATTAATTAGATCTTATTATCAGGCCAAAATAAATATCCTGATAACTAAAATGTTCATATTTATGTTTTCAATTACAATAGATATATATATATATGAAAATTTTTGTTTGCTAGATATATCATTTTAAATAATTGATCTTAGTATCAGGTTAATATTTATATAAGGTAAATAAATGTTCATATCTAATTGATTAAATATAATTATAAATTGATTTACAAATAATATGTCAATCACAATATATTATATATATTTTTAGTTTGCAAGATATTTATTTAGGTCTGATATTATAAAATTGAAATGTTATGAAAAATTACATTGATCAATTTATATAATAATTAGCATTTAAAATTTATAAAATATTATATTTTAATCAATAATAGATGTTACTTTTCTTGATGACATATCATTTTAATATAATTTTATTGCTTCTTCATAACTCTTTATGGTAAAAATTTTCCTATATGAGTACCATAATAATTTTATAAAAATTAATTGAATGATTGCACCTACAAGCCACGATTTTACTAACCCCAATGGTGGTAATATTATTAATATGCTCTTAACATATATAAACCTTATATATCAATCTGAAACTTTCCTAAATATTAAAATAGAGTTTGAATATATTGTCTTTCTTTTTTGTCATGTCCAAACTTTAAAATTTTTATTACAACCTAATAATATAAAGTGGAAAATATTATTTTCACATCAAAAACATATAACAAATAAAAATTTAAAAAGCTAATTAATATAAATTATTTTATTATAATATGGATATCATAGAATTCTACTTCAGAACAAAATTTTATTTTATAATCGTTATTAGTTTCTCCTGAACCGACAAACCTCTTGCACCGACTACCCCTGGTTTCCCCTCTTGGCTGATATTGATACCACCTGTATTGGTGAATCTCTGGTCCAAAACGATTATTATATTAATTGAATGATATAAAAAATGGTTTTTATAAAATTACCTGCTATATCTCTACGCCTCTCATCTTTTCCATCTTTTGTGATCCTTATTCTCCCCTGATTCAGGGGTTAATTATTTTTAATAGATAAAATAAATATATTTATTTTTAAAAATATTCTACTAAATCGTGAAGAATTTATTAATTATGAATAAAATGATTAAATTTAGAAGTAATGGTAACAATTATCTGATTTTGAAACAAGTATCAATCTTGAAGCTCAAAAATTGAGAAACAAAAAGGTTCTATGAACTAGTTTATTATATGAATTGCATAATTTAATGAACTTTGTAACCATCTCATAAAGTCTTAAAATATAATGAGCAATTTTTAATAAATATAAATGAAAAAAAATTTTATCAAAAAATTAAAAAGTATTTCTTGTTTAATGTAATCTACGATATAATAGTGTAAAATAAAAACGACAAAACCACGAAAATGAATAAATTAATTGTAAACCCTTTCCTCTCTCTCCCTATCCTCCCTTCTTTTGAGAGTTAACGGGTCTTCATCGGCGTTTACAGGTTTGTTTCCCCTTCCAGGAATATTAATATAGAGTATCCTTTTTCCTCCTTCCTTTTCCTTATTTTCACCCTTGTTGGAGTCTATATTAAACACCATTTTAATAATTTAATTTATAAACAAAAATATTCTGAAATTTTCTAATGAATAATTGAATATTATTTTACTTTTGAAAAGTTACAAACTTAAAAAGTAACTAGTTAACTTTATAAATAATTTATACTCATATTTTTTTAATTTTATTACATAATGCAAGTGTAACAATTGGCCACTAATTTTTTTTCTCATTTTTTATATTCTCTTAAGTTTGGCAATGGGCGAGGACTTTCTAAAATATTTTAAACATTGGGCAGGTTGACGAGCAAGTTAAAAAATATTTTTAAAACAATAACAGGTGAATTTTAAATATTTTTCAGGTGAAATGAGCAATTGACTTCTATTTATTAAAAATTATTTTTTTATAAGTTTAACCCTCTATTGCTCGACATATCAATAAATGTATAATTTTTTTTAAAAAACTTATTTTTGTCTTTTAGGGCCCTTAATAAACTAAAAATAATTTTTTAAAAATTTTTTTTAACCCTTTCGCGCCCATGGATAACTTTTGGAATCATAATTTTTCAATAGTATTTTTTATGTATTAAAAATAACCACTAATAACTTTTGAAATCATATTTTTAATTTTTAATATTTGCTGTTTCGTATTTTATCAATAACTCGCTTTGTTACATATGTTATTATATCATATTATAGTTATAACAATTTTTTCGTACCAATTTCGCGCCTAAATTTTAATTCATATTTCTGGTTATCAAATCTTGCTAAAAATATAATTAATAATTTTATTATTAATATATATATATATATTAATATTTTTATTTTAAAATTATCATCTTTTTAATCATTTTATGTGTTGGAAATTGAACATAATGCCATTTGGCATCATTGGTCATTTCTTATGCACTAAAATATTTTTTATCAATAAATGGAAATTTTGGGCAAATTATTTAGGATATTTAGATTTAAAATTATGGAAACGGAAGTGGGGTAGGGGGGGGGGAAATTAGATTAGATTTTGATAATAGTTACCTATATTGATTATCTAATATCTATTAGTGGGTTTTCTTGGATATAGGGAGAGGTTCTAATAAATATTTTATATAAATAACATGTAATATGAAATGCTTTTTATATCAATATGCATTTAGATATGACTACACTTATCCCCGAGGGTGATATATCTGAGACTGATATAGAGGGCTCAGACGAAGAAGACAATTATTATTCTTTGCTGGCAGAAGATTTGCCGACTTCATCTTATATTACAAATCAACTAGGCCTTGATGTGGAGGATATAATAGAAGACACTTCTATAATTAAAAAGATAACACCATGTGGTCTAAGAAAGGCATAGGAAATATGAATACAGAATATATCCCTATATTAGAAATTCCTGAAGAGGATTCAACTCCACTAACATATTTTCGTAAATTTTTTGACAATCAGATAATCAGTAATTTTGTATCTGAAACAAATAATTATTCATTCCAATGCCGGTAAATCTATAAATACAGATAGTGATGAAATTGAAAAATTTATTGGAATACATATACTAAGTATAGTTAAGATGCCTTCTATACGACAATATTGGTCTGTTGAAACATCTATTCCCTCTCCTTTATTTATTTATATAAATAGCTTATTATATCAGTTAAAATTCATTATTGTTAATTGTGATATATGAAATTTTGATTTAATAAAGCTATAGGGATGCCAAAGCCATAAAGGCTAAGGCATCCAGTTACATCCAACTTTCCCGCAAATAGGGGAAAGTTAAAAGGATGTAACGGCGAATGAACCCCGGGTCTGTAAATGTAGAAATGCACACAATAATTAAAAACTATAATGAGGGAATGGGTGGAGGAGATCTTCACGATATGCTGGTGGAGTTATATCGGACAGATATTAAATGGAAACGATATTATATGCGAATGGTTTTCCATTTATTGTATTCTTGTGTGGTAAATGCCTGGCTCCTATATAGACGCCATATGAAGGTGTTAAATAGTATAAAATTTATGCCTTTACTGGTATTTAAATCGCAGATAGCAAAAGAGTTGATGTTTGCAGGAAAGGATAATACAAAAAAAACCGGCAGACCTTCCAGCATAGATGTTAAAAGAAGAAAAGTTATCAACATTGCCCTCATATCGGATATAAGATATGACCAAGTAGGTTATTTCCCAATGCCCGTAAGTATTAAGCAAAGGTGCAAGTATTGCGTAGAAGCCTATTCAAGAATTATTTGCAAAAAATGTAATATTTATTTATGTTTAATAATAAAAGAAATTGTTATTTCTTATGAAATAAAATATTTTTTAAATGAACTTGCATTTTGCCCATTGATAACAATTGGAATCATTGAATATCTTTTGATAGAAATACTCGAAATAAGTTTTTTTGATGAAAATGTGTTATTTGTGTCATAATAAATAACTCTTAAAAAAAAAAAATTTTTCATCGAGGGAAAAGCGCGAAAGGGTTAAACCATAAAAAAAAATTCAGTGTGTATTTAAATACACAATGCATGTAAAAAGTATATTTTTTTAATTTCAAAATTATAATATAAAGACATATAATTTTATTATTTGATAAATAATGTAATAAAACAAATTTATATTAATTTTCGTGAAATAAAAACAATCGTTTTTTTATAGTAAAACATAATGATACACCATATTTAGTACAAACCAATTTACACCCAGGGTTTTTGCACCACGCCTTTTTACTATATTTTGGTTAATGTGTTACTAAATCATATCTTATTTCATTCGTAATAAGACTTATCGGCCCCTTGCTAGATTTTTTTATATTTGATGTCAATTGATGTTCGTTTTTTTACACTAGCGTTCATATTTTTGTTAAATTTACAGAGTATCTGCTATTGAAATTTTGAATGTTAATAATGGCATCTGTTCTTTTACCGGTACCTTCAAAGCTACAAAATCTCGCCTATACATTAACCAAGATTTATGAGCATCATATCAAATATATGGAATACTATACGGTGATACCATTTCCATGATCTTATGTGAAACCACGCTTCATCTTTTAGAATTCTTTTTTAGTTGGAAACTGGCAACTATAAATTCTATTAGCCCTCGCTGTAGCAATACTCCCTTTTGGGCGAGTAATACTTGAAGTTCTATACCACAGAACCAATTATCAAAACACAATTTAAAAATGGAATGTAGTTGAAACTGCATAATCAACATCTGCTGATCTTGAATCAAGAATTTCTCATCTGATGAGCCACTGATATTAGAATCAGAACTATATTCTGGAATACAGTACATTTTGACTATAGATAGCAAATAAAGAATATTTATTAATATAAAAAAAATAATCAAAAAAGCCCAAATTCATATTGCATTTGAGTGCATTATGTATCTGGGTACACATAGCTTTTTTAATTTTAAACACTATTAATGAATATAACAATCTATTTATATATAAAACATTTCTTTTACCTTTATTTATAGGATTTCTAATAGATAACTTCAAAAAAAAGCTTTATTTCCTGTAAATAAATAATTTGAATTTGTTTTAAAACTTTTTCCTTAAAAATTTGTACAAGAGAAATTACATAATTTATGAAATGGAAAAAATGCAACTGTTGAAAAGTTGTAAACTACGTATTTTAGAATTTTTATAATGATAGCTGTCTTCCATTTTTGACAAAATTAACTATAGAAATAAATAAAATATATGTGTATCTATTATACATCATGTGTATTAAGCTGTAAAAAATTTATATTAAAATTTATTCCTTTTTTTTTATATGCAATAGAGGGTTATTAATTAAAAATATTATAAAATAAATAAGGACCAAACCAGTCATTAAAATCATTTTAAAACATTGGGCAGGTGAATTTAAAATAAAACATGGGTGGGTGGGTTCAAAAAATTATAAAAAATGAGTTGGTAGGCATGTTGACTAAAACATACCTATTGTAGAATTAAAATATTCTCTACAAAATAAATTAACACAGTTGTACTTCTGTTTTTTGAGTATGTACCAAAATAAAAAATTTATTCAACTCTTAATCATGTCTAAATTATGGGACCTAGCAGTGCATTGAATTAATAGTTGAAGGAAAAAAAAGAAAAAGATATCAATCATATAATTACTCGAGTTTTCTTTGGTATCTTTTGATATAAGATGATGTATAGCCATCATAGTAGGGTGGTATCTAACCTTCCCAGGACTCGTTTGTTTATCTTCCAATTTATTGCTAGCATCAGTTGTATCCATTTCTTCAGGTGATTTGGTTGATGAAGTATTTGCAACACTTTCTATAATATAATTCAAAAATTTTGAATGGGAAGTCACCCATAAATTTGATTAAGCATAACACCATTTTAATTGGTGTAATTTTATCAGTGTCATAAAAAATAATAATTGTAAAACAGTTTTGTGGTTAGCAATAGAAAAGGCACGAAAAAATATTTTATAAAAGCCTTTTCAAATTAAAAAACTAGATTATATTTTAATCATATTAGTATTGGATAAAAACCAGGCTGGTTTTTGAATTTCAATATAGTTCTAATAGAAACACTTGCAATGCCCGACCAATCAAGGAAAAAACTTTAACGGATCAGGCAATTCATACATAAATAAGAACCATGTGTCGAAAATCTGATTTTCCATGAAATTTTAATGGGTCAACCCATGCATTAAAATTTTGATATATTTTTTTGAATTTCAAGCTAATATTTTTTCTGATAAACACTATTTCAAAATAAATTGTAGTATACTTAATTTTAACAATTTAATGTCTAGCTAAAATACTAAATCTATAAATAAAATAGTAAATTCACAAAAAAGTTATTAATGACTCAATTATAATACTCAATAAAGATATCAAAACAGAATTTATAAAAGTGTTGTTATAGGAATAGATAGCCATAGAGAAAGGGCCTTAATTAAAAATAAGTAAAGTTAAAAAATATAAATATCTCATGAAAATCAAATCATGGTAAATAGGGTAGATAAAGCATAAAGTATTGTGTATATACAACGTCCTATTTAAGAGGCTAATAGGAACATACCACTTACCTTCACTATTAGAGAAGGTAATAGAAAAACTAATGAAAGTAAATAGATCTTTAAATTTTAACCAAGATCCCTTGCACATTAGTCTGCATGTTTGACTTTGAAAGCTTGTTCTATTAATGAAAATATTTTTATTCATGTGAAGGATGAGAAGGGTAAACATAGAAAACGAAGAAATGATTTTATAAAAAATAGGGATCTTAAAATTTTCATTATAAAAAGACATTGAATTCAACATTATTATTTATTATATAACCCTTTTCAGTTATAATTTTGTCTTCATGTTCTTTCTTGATAACGACTCTTCTGTGACTATGTTGCTGCAGAAGCGCACCAGGAGGCAGAAGAGGAGCAAGGTTTTTGAGCAAGTGAAACTCTTGGGGATCCATGCCACCTTCAGAATGTGTTGTGGAGAGGTTCAAGTCAGGAATTTCTGTGTTAGTTGAGAGTTTGGCATTGTATCTACTTGTTGTAGATGGGGTGAATGATTTGTCCAGTAACTGGTTGTTTTTGTATGAATCCAACTGAAAAAGAATATAATTATATTATTTAAAATGAACCTTATATATGAAATCACTCTTATTGCAAATAAAAGGTTTAATAAGATTAAGTAAAATCTCTACCTTAATGTTAGCAATATTATTTATTTTTTTTAATTTTCTAAATTTAAGAATTGCTAGATGATAATTTAATTATACTTCATTTTGGTCAGTGAATTCTACTTTCAACAATTTAGGGTTAGATGATGGCCATTTTTGTTTGTTTAAATTATTATAAGCTTCCAAGGCTGACTCAGCATTTGAGTACTAATATTAATATTTTTGTGCACAAAAAAATTAACAAATATATGATAATTTTTTTTTATCATTCATTCTTGATATTTTAATTTTTTCAATTTATTTTTCTCTTATACCCCCCCCCCCTTAATAAAATATCAAGGTGATTTATATAAAAAATATCTACTTTCACAATGCAGTGTGATTTAATTTTGTCTATCCAAAAATCTTTAGTTTCATCAAATTCTCCATATTTTTGAAATTCTTCTTTCAACTGTCTCAGAGTAAATGGTCGAACCTTTGAAGAAAAAAAATTTGTTATAGCAATTTATCATTGTCCTCTTTTCAAAAAATAGCCTATATAATCTATTTTTATTTTACTTGAATATTCATGCTTTATATAAAGATAACCAACATACATATATTTTAGTTTAAATATAATAAAAGGTAACTCACCAAATTTGAAACATGAATTATAGATGAAGCATCGTTAGAACTCCTAGAGACTTCAGTTTTCAATTTTTCAAAAGTGTCCAATGTTCCATAAAATGTTAGTGGTGGCTTATTCACATTGGGGGATTGGTCTTTTTAAAAAATATATACGTGTGGGATAAAAGAAAATGCATGAAAATTTATGAGAAATCGAGATAAGTTTAGGCTTAAAGAATATATAAAATAAAAAATTTTTATTTCTTTTATAAATATTTGAAAATAGGACAAAGCAATTTCTGGTTTTTACTCTTTTTAATTATATAAAAATGTGTTTAATTAAATTCTGGTCAGATTCAGGCTTAATTGTTAGTAAAAATTTTGGGACAAACTTAGGTGAAAAAATAATCAAATTTAGTGCTTATTATATGCAAATTTCTAAATTTCAATTATTTTTTTTACTTTCATCATTTTGAATTTCTATGTTTTCATGTGATTGAGTCTATATAATTAAGATAAAGATTGAGATAAAACTAAAAAATGTTAATATAAAAATTAAAGTTAAATTGATATAAAATTCATAGTTAATACACATTATAATCAGTCATCAGTCAAATCAACGTAATCATAAGCTTAACTATTATCTTCCATCAAGACTACTATGGCTGATACCTATGTTGAACTTTGAAACAGTGTATAATTACAAATTGATTGGATTTTAATTTAGATAATTTGAAGCATTCGTTATTAGATTATTATTGGTGGAATCAAATCATTATTATCATCACAAGAACATTGAAAAGTAACATATATCTATTATTAGTGTATGATGTTTCTTTGCTATGTTAATAACCCCCATAAATATTATTATTATTATCATCACTCAATTGTTATTATTATCATGTTATTGCTATTATTATCATGTTATTGCTATTATTGTTTATGATATATTATCATGTCACCTAGTAATTGGATGACATCCAATTAGGTGATTATCATAATGGATTGATTTAAATATATATCTATCAAGATTAGGTCACATGCTCACCCATTTTAACTATAAATTGCAACTTATTTAGATTTTGAACAATCAGGAAGGAGATTTGAACAAGAAATTTGTTATTTCGACAAACCAGATATAAATTATAAAAAAGATGTGATAAAGTATTGAATAATAATTAACTAGTTGACATATTTCAATATTAAAAAGATATTAAATTATACTTACTTTAAAACCAGGTATAAGAACTTCTTTTATATTCTCCTCTAGATCTTTTGTTTCAGAATCCACCTCAGCCCTTTATAAAAGTAATCAAAAAATAATTAAATAAAATCTAACGTGGTCTGTAAATCTTGATTAAATTCTTCATCACCTTCAAAATGAGGTTCAAAAAGCTCTTCACCTGGTATAATCTCCTCAGCATTATTATATATTTGTTTGTTTGAATCAATTTTATGATTTATTTCTATGTCATTATTATATGATAGAGTTTCAATAGTTGTATGAATAATTTTAAAATTATCATGTATAATAATTTCTTGTTCATTTTTAATTATATTTGTATTATCATTTATATTGTTTCCAAGTCTTTCCAAATCTTTATCCCTATATGGGATTTCTAAACTTAATGATTGGTCAATTATATTTTCTGTCTTAGTTTCTTCAACAATATTTATTTCATGTACAAAACTTTCCTAAAGATTGTATAAAAATAAATTAAATGCATTTAAACTTTTTTGATTTCTATATCCTTAGTTGTACAATCTTCTAATACATCTGCTGTAAATACATATAATTAAATTAGATGAATTATATTACCAATACTATTATCAATAAAAATTGTTGTTTCACTATCAATTATATTTATATCACTACTTTGAAATTCATTTATGTTTTTATTTGATAGAATTGATTCTTCAGCAAAATTTTTACTTTCCTTTAAATTTGGTTTATCCACATTAATTTCATTATAATCTATGTTTTTGTCAGATACTTCATGTATCTCATTTTCTTGTGTATCCATAGGTAGAATATCATCTTTATTACTTGGAGTATGAACTTTTGGGCGACCACGCCGTTTTTTTATTGGTGTTTTGCTAACGTCCATCTCATTATCTTGTATATTTTCACCAGTCTCTTCTATATTGACTGAATCATTTTTTTCAACATTTCCTTCTATTTTAACATAATAGGGTATTATGTACTTAAATTTACCTTTAGTTTTTGTGACTTTTGTTCTCCGAGTTTTCATCTTAAACAGGTTATATAAATAACAAGATGGCAAAGCTTAGGAGTTGGCAAAATAATTAATATCGAAATAAATTAAATTTAATCATAAAAAATATTAAAATATATGAATCAACTAATACTATTTTAATTAAAATTTATTTTGTATGTGTATATCATTTAGAACTATACTATTATTAGTTTTTATTTTATATACATTATTTTTCAATTCTAAAGTAAAAATTTTTGCCAAAGGAAATACACAAGATTGAAACTTGGCAAACATTCATCAGTACAGGTTACAGTGAGATGGGACAGTAATTATTCCGAGAAAAGGGTATGTGCCTTAGTATAAAATAATAATTTCAACCTCTTAGAGATATATGGTTATACGAAAAACTGAGCCCTGGTCAAATTTCAAAATACAAATATCTTTTAATAGTACACCTTTTTCCGAATGAAATTCGTTTTAGCAAATATTTTATAAAATCAATCCCGGGTCAGATCATAGAATATCTTTCAACTCACGATCGGATCAAAAATTTTAGATTGCATTTGTTAATTGTGTTCAATTAACATAATTTATTGTAATGTTAATTTAAATTTGTGATCAGTTGAAATAATTTATTTTAATGTTAATTGAGTATTAATTTGAATATCTATTGAAATGTTTTATTATATATACCAGTTGATTGTTATACATATTACATTATTATTATTTGATTTTTTAAAAGTAGAAATAAAGTTAATTTAAAACTCAAAAAATAACTTGTTTCCTTCATGGTGCCCGGTACGTTTTTGTAAAAAAAAAAATAAGAAAATATATAAAATTTGCCTAAAATTAAAAAAAAAAGTATAAATTCAATTAAATTCGAAATGACTTGTTTTTTTTTAAAAAAAAATATATAGTCAAATATTATTCTGATATATACATATACAAAAGTGAGGGTAACTCTAGAAATTTTCTTAATAACCAATCTTCGAACAACAATTCAAACTATAACGGAAGAAACTCCATGTGGCACAGTAACAATAATGCAAACAATTACGTTAGAAACAATGCCTAATCTATTGAGATGACTGATTAACCTATTGAGATGACTACCTAATCTATTGAGATGACTACCTAATCTATTGAGATGACTACCTAATCTATTGAGATGACTACCTAATCTATTTAGATGACTACCCATAGGCGTAGCCAGGGGTAAACAAGGGGAAATTCCCCCCCCCCTTCAGAAATTTATCACTTTTTGTAAATATCATATTTAGCTAATAAAAAATATCCCCCTTAGTCCTCTTTCCACTCTCTGACCCTCAAATATGTATGCATATATCTTAAATAATAATTTAAAAGAAAGAATGTAAAAGTTTATATTTTTTTATAAAACTATTCATCATAATTTATAGATTTTTGGGAAAATAAATTTATAAATATATAAAATGAACCAAAAATGTTTTTTAATAAATGGAATATAAGCCAAAGATAAGTCTTAAGACAGAAGTGAAATGTATTATAATTATTAATAATATATCCATAAAGTTACTAAATAATATAATATATCAAATATAATTTTTTAAAAAGTAAGTAATTTTAATTTATTTATCTTAATAAAAGTAAAATATAATTATAAAACTATTGATAAAATTAAATCATAAATTAAAAAAATATTAAAGCACAATACAAACAGTGGAATATTATATGTCGTAGATTTACAGTATATCTAATTACCAAATGACAATCAAGTAATTTTTACCAATATAGCGAATTTTATATTTTACAGAAAACTATAAAATATTGATAAGGACAGCAGAAAAAATCTTTTAAAGACATTGTGGGATGAATAATATGAAGATTAAATTTAAATATTATTTTTACTTAAAATAAATAGATGGCGTTAAATAATTGAATGCAAATTGTTGCTATATTTAATATCAAGAGCATTGATTAGTAAAATTTGTTAAATTATTAACTGTTCTAACTGTCAAATATGTCTGTAAAAGTGGAATTTTACCTAGTATTCTAAAACTAATTTTATATAATAGAGTAAAATCAACTATATGTCTACTTACTTTTTATAAATAAATTTCTTATATTTGTTTGGAATAAATTATTACCATGCTTCTATATTAAGGTATATACAATACAAGTAATTTATTATATTTTTATTTTATATAAACTAATAAAAATATATTTCATATTTGTTCCATGCCTATTTTTCTAATTAAAATTTGTTAAAATATTTTATGACTCTATATAGACTAAAATAATCCCGCCGAAGGCCCGCCCAAAAGGGGGGCGAAGCCCCCAGTAATTTTTTTATTTCCTTCCCCTTATGAAAATCCTGGCTACGCCTATGTGACTACCTAATCTATTGACATGATCAATGCCTAATCTATTAAGATGACTGCTTAACCTATTGAGATGACTACCTATTGAGATGACTACCTTATCTATTGATATGACTACCTATTGAGATGACTACCTAATCTATTGATATGACTGCCTAATCTATTGAGATGACTACCTAATCTATTGACATGACCAATGCCTAATCTATTGAGATGACTACCTAATCTATTGAGGTGACCAAGAATCATACCTTAGCACGTTCTTTCATGCAAAAAGCTTCTTTCTTCATGGTGTCCTGGCTCTGGATGTTGGACTGGAATATGATAACCAGCACCTAACCTAATGTGACAACCTAGAAAGAACTGATATGGAAGTTGAACGATAGGTTATGAATTCTATATTGTGAGACCAATGATGGTTACTTATTATTCTAATCCACATAAGAAGAAAAGTTATTATAAATAAAAATTTTATGCCGAGATAAAGGCATGTTGTAAATTTACTTATTAAAATAACTTAAATGTAAATCAATCATAATAGACATATTTGAATACATAAAAAGCCTTGAAAAATATTTACTTAATGAATTAGTTGTATTTCTTAGTGAAATGCCTATTGATTTTTTGAATTTCTTAGTGAAATGCCTATGTATTGATATTTTGAATTTCTTAGTGAAATGCCTATTGATATTTTTGATTTCTTGAATTATGACCAAAGATGATAAAATGCCTTAAAAAATTATTTGCTAAATGAATTTCTTAATGAAATGCCTATTGATATTTTTGATTTCTTGAATTATGACCAATTGTGTAAATTAACTGAATTACCTAAAGATGAATTCTTAATTAAAAATATTACAAAGTTAAACCATTAAAAATCCTAAACAAGAAAAATAGATTTAATAGATAAAAATCTGCTTATTATAAAATTTTAAAATAAAATAACAAGTAATAAATGTGATAAAAAGTTTTTGAAATTTAAAGCTTGACAGAAGGTTATGTAAAAATTAAACATCTTCATTTTAGATAAATATTTAAATGTGTGATGAGATCATCTTATGAAGAATTTTTATTAAAAATAACACTTTTTGAATTAAAACTAGGGTGTGAAATTTAAATTTTTTATTTAAAGAGAGGGTAATGTGAATAATATTTTATTTGCATATTTTAACCTCGGAGATTGAAAATAAATAAAATATTAAAACGCAACTTAAATTATTAAAATAAAATATTAAAACGCAACTTAAATTATTAAAATAAAATATATAAAACGCAAAATTAAAAAAAAACGCGAAATATTATATAATAATTTTTTTTGATTTATCATTCTTACGGAATTCTACATATTTATCATTTCATATTCCAAAATTTTTATTCCAAATTCTTTTTTCCAAATTTAAAATTTTATTCCATATTCCATATACTCAAATTTGATCAATTATTCCTTATGATAATGATAACGTACAACAATTTTATCAAACCTACGAAAACGTATGGACTCACGCGACTCAAACATAGACTTATGCGCTCACCGAACAACAACTTGATACTTTGTTGAAGAAGGGAATGTTAATTGTGTTCAATTAACATAATTTATTGTAATGTTAATTTAAATTTGTGATCAGTTGAAAAAATTTATTTTAATGTTAATTGAGTATTAATTTGAATATCTATTGAAATGTTTTATTATATATACCAGTTGATTGTTATACATATTACATTATTATTATTTGATTTTTTAAAAGTAGAAATAAAGTTAATTTAAAACTAAAAATATAACTTGTTTCCTTCAGCATTGTTATTAGTTAATGTAAAATGAGTATAACTCAGAAATAAAAAATATATAAAAATAATTTCTAATTTCTAAAGGAACTCATTAAAAAATAATTATTGATAAGTTTTTCTATAAAGGCCGATGCCTAGTGAGCATATTATTTAGTTTTGCAAATTCGATATTATGTGACAAATAAAATACAAAAATCATAATTCTTGGTGATAATCAGTGGCGTAGCTAGGAATTTTTCTTAGATGGGGTCCATACATAACCCCCTTTAACGGGCCTTCGGCCCTTTTGCTAGGCCTTCGGCCGGGTTTATTTTACAAATTATAATCCAGTGTTGTTAAAATAGCGCGCTACTTTTTTCAGTAGCGGTAGCTTTAGCTGGCTACTTTTTTTTAGAAAATAGCGATAGCGGTAGCTCGCTATTAATTTAGAAAATAGCGATAGCGGTAGCTCGCTGCTACTTTCAATTTTACATAATAAATACATCTAAAAATTATTAAAATATATTTTTTATTAAATCTAAAATTATAATCTTTTTATTTTATTTAATTTAATTTTGAAATTTAAATTTATATTTAGAAATATACATTATAAATCTAGTTAGCATTATTAATCTAGTTATTAAAAATGTGTGAGAGATAGCGAAATTTCTTTGGAAAATGAGAAAAATATAGATTATCCTTTGCCAAAATTCAAATAATAAATCATGAAGAAAAAATTACTACTGGATATCGATTTCGATGCAAGAAAATTTTGCCAACCACTGGTGGTAGTCCATGCTAAAAGGCATTGAGAAAAGGTCAAAACTTTATTTTTATTTTCTATTATACAATTATATAAAATGAATGATTTATTGCTTGATTAGCCATAATTTATATTGGCTTAATTTACAACACAATCTATAATATTAATATATAGTATTAATATAAAATTCAAAATTAATAT